AAGTGTCAGCTACCTAGTTTGAGTCCCAGTCTCAGACAGAAAAAAAAGACTATGTAGCTACATTTGAGAAAATAATAATGACCACTGGACCCAGAAATATCTTAAGTATTCTCAGACAGTATAATCTCTGTGAACAGCATTAGAAATGAATTTCATAGTTTTCACAGGTTTTGGAGAGAAAACTGAAAATTTCAAAAGCACAGATCAAGTGGAATTAATTTATTTCCTAGGACAATGGACTGTATCCTTCAACCAAAGATCCATTTACTTGAGGGTAAATCAGCTAAATCCCAAAATCGCACCTCAGTCTTTGTCAAGACATTAACATTCTTCCTCAAAATTTTCTTGACAAGAAATTTAAAAACTGGGCATGAAAAACCCTTCTAAAGTCAAGAAAAAAAATCAATGTAACTCCTTACCATTTATAGTCAGTTTAGCTTTCTGAGAGTAATTGGAGCCAAAGTGATTAGTAACAATGCACTGGTATCTTCCTTCCTCTGTGAAGTTCACCCCAAGAAGATGCAAGACGCTGGTGTACTCCAGAGCTTCCCCAGCTTGCTGCTGATAGCGCACAAAATTCTCCACGTCCGCATCACACAGGATCTCACCGTCCTTGCGCCACATAACAGACATGGGTGAGTCGCTGCTGCTCACTGCAGCACAGGTCAGCGTCACGTTAACGCCCCTTAGGGCGACTGTGGTTTCGGGATGCGTTCTTATCTGTGGCTTGAGAAAATCATCTGAGGGAAAACCCCAACAGGCAGCCAGGTCAGGGACTTACTTTTGCTTTATGTTCAACTGTAAAGACTGTAAAACTGTAAATTCTGTTTATATAGTGAGTAGCATATTGAAGCAGAAGGATATACTAGAAGTAGAGTCTAATGCCCTTGTTTAAAGTCCAGAAAAGTCAAACAGCTTGCTTCAAGACACTGTATTGAGGCAGAACCTAATCTTAAGATGTGGCTTTTTTTTCCTACTATCCTCACTGCTGTCTTGCTTAGAATGCTTTTTTTTGGGGGGTGGGTGGGTGGGTAGAGTGGGTCATGGGGCTTGAACTCTGGTCCTGGGCGCTGTCCTGAGCTTCTTTGGCTTGAGGCTAGCATTCTATCCTTGGGCCACAGCACCACTTCTGGTTTTTGAGTAGTTAATTGGAGAGCACTCTACCACTGAGCCACCTTCCAGCCCCAAGCAGTATGGTTTAACAACTACTTATATAGCATTTACATTGAGATTATAAGCAACCTAGACATAACCTAAGTATCCAGGAGAATGTACATGGGTTATCTATAATACAACATTTTTTATATAAGAAACCTGAGCATCTGTGAGGTCTGGTATCCATAGAGGGTCCTGGAACCAGCCTTCTGTGGATACTGAGGGACAACTGTACTACATAAAGCTAAGAATTAGTCATCACACACTACACTTGAAAGGACATTTAAGTATCAGCAGTTTAGATATGTACCTAAAAGGTTAAGTGCTAGAACAAAAGCCACCTTTGTCCATGACTCCCATAACCTCCCCCAAAACTCTCCCATTCTAGTCTTACAAAACATGCTCTCTACAACTCCTTCATATTAACAACAAATACAAAATACACGAATTAGTACATGGTTATACAAGTGTATTACAGCATTACTGGTGGTACTTAAAAATTCCTACTGGCACTTTTCAAGATCTACTAAAAATGCTTTTTTATAAAAGTGTTGGTCCTGGGGCTTGAACTCAGGGCCTTGACACTGTCTCTGAGATTTTTGAAAATGTGCTCAAAGCTAGTACTCTACCACTTGAGCCACAACTCCACTTCTGGCTTTTTTGGTAGATAACTGAAGGTAAGAGTCTCAATGTAGGGGCTGGGAAGGTAGCTCAGCAGTAGAGTGCATGCCTTGCAAGCATGAGGCCCTGGGTTCGATTCCTCAGCACCACATAAACAGAAAAAGCCCGAAGTGGCGCTGTGGTTCCAGTGGTAGAGCACTAGCCTTGAGCTGAAGAGCTGAGGGACAGCGCCCAGGCCCAGAGTTCAGGCCTCATGGCCGGCAAAAAAAAAAGAGTCTCAATGGACTTTCCTGCCTGGGCTGGCTTCAAACCATGATCCTCAGATCTTAGCTGCCTGAGTAGGTAGGATTACATGCATGAGCCACCAGTACCCAGCTTTAAAAATACTTTTAAAAAAATCACCAGGCAATTCCAGGAAATGGAAACAAGAGGTTTTTCTTTCCCCTTTTTGTTTTGTATGTTTGTTTATCTGTCTTAGGGGGAGAGGTAAGGGAGACACAGAAATGGAAGGACACAGGGTGAACAAATGTAGCAGTGGTACTCAGTAGATACTATGTTTTTTTTTTTT